CTCGTTCGCTTGGGGTGTTAAGCGTATAGGTGACAACAGGTAGAAAATCAGTTTGAGTTTGGCCATTGGAGTGTGAAGAGCTATGCGCATGATTGCACGAATTTCCTTCTGATTTTAATTGAATTGTTTTAAATTTGGCTATTTTCAATTGATATTGTGATTATTTTGATTGTTTTTGTTTTCTGCGACCCATTTTTAGAAGAAAAATTACGTTTCCCGTGAATTTAAAGAGAAAAATTGATAATTTCTTTGAAAAAATTTGAATGTTAACAGAGTTATGTACGTGAATCAAATTTGTGAAAAAATTTCAACGAAAAGATCGTTTGAACGTCGAAGAAATTTGATATTTTATATCTTGAGTACCAATTCGCTATTCGAGTGTAATTATTAATTGGAAGTTTTTGAAAAAATCGAAAAAATTGCGATTTTTATGACCGTTATATGTTTGTACATTGGTTAGTGAAAATAGGGGATACTCGGGCAAAATCGTATCCAGTTTTGAACGGGTATTTTTTCATAGTGGAGATCGGGGCAGGTTCGGACTTAGTATCCAAATTGAACTGAAAGGTTTATTTTAGTGATATTTTCGGATTTTCTCGACGATTTTCGGTGACTTTTGGCATTTTTCATTGAATTTTTGACCAAAGTTTTGTGACTACTGTATGGTTTTCTGTGGATTTTTCGGCGATTTTGCGGATTTTTGAACGGAATTTTTGAATTTATCTTGCTTCGACCCCGTATTAAATATACATTGAACTTGATTGAACTAGTGACGCAAGTACAAACTGGTACTGTGATACAAGCGCTTTGTTTTCGGAGAAAATTTATTAAAATGTGTCGTGGATTGGGAAATGAAGTGTTCATACCTCGATATGAGGATGACTTTGCTCTACCGCCAGAACCCATTGATTTTGATGATTTTAACGAACAACGGTCATACCATCATTTGGGCTGGCCGGAGAATGTAGACAACAACGATCGGTACATTGCATGTCGGATGTGTTTTTACCCGATTTTAGCTCTAAATGATGCAACTTTTCGGGATTTTGGTGTTATCGGACCTGTAAATCGCATTATTTGTATCGATCCCCCCGTGCGCTTTTATGATAATTACATTCTTGATTGGGAACGGGAAGTGAAATGTGATAATTGTGACGGTATACTTTCGTACACTGACAATGTTCCCGAACGCGCTAGAAGTTTTTGGTCCAACCATTATGCCGTAATATTGAATCCCGAATGTTTGGTATACGGTGTTGAGCGTGATTATTTCGAACATAGAGATGACGCTGAAGATGATATTGATCATGATGGTGAAATATTGGTGACCATTAATACAGTGCACACCATAGACAATGATGAGCCTATGCCCGAAGTTATCTATGACCCCTCGGATGAAGATTGGGATAATTGACTCCATTCCAATTTTCTGATAATTAGTCCATTTCTACCCGGACTATATAGATGATTCCCGTGTACACCCGGGTTGGATTTTGTTTTTTTTTTTCATTTTTTTTATGCTTGTGTATACCCAAGCTGGATTCTTCTTTATTTTTACCATCAATGTAAGTTTTTATCTTTTTATTTTTTACTCATTGATATTGTTCAAAGACCCCATTCAGGCGGTCGTGTTACAAGAAAACGGCTCCAAGAGTCGCAAAAACTCAAACCGTTTGTGTTATAGGAAAACGGCTCCAAGAGTCGCGAAAATCCAGAAAATTGGGTATTTTCCGTCGGTTTTTTTTTCAGTTTTTGTCTATTGCTTCACCGTACTTGCCCCAACACACCCCAAATAATGTATGAGCGTTGTGTTGTGATGCATAATAGAACATTTTTTTTTGAATAATGATAATTAGATTCCCCGAAACGTTGCCATTTTTTTTTAATCAGATGTCGTTTATTTTTAGAATTTTATCATTTTTTATGGCCTGTGTATACCCAGGTCGGATTTTTTTTCCCTACTTGGTTCAAACGCTGTGTATACCCAGTTGGATTTGTTTGAATCATTCGCGTAAGTTCATCTCCGTTTCGCTTTTAGTTCTTCCCTTCGAATTAGAATCAGTAGTTTATTTATTATTTTCCGTCTAAATTTCCGCGCTTTTTGTTCTTCTTCTGAGAATCTGTTAGAACCATTACTCAAAGCTTCCGCGAATTTTCTCAATTCATAAGAAATTGTAATTTTCCAGACACATTCCTTCTTCAAATCTTCGATTATACGCCTATTTCCCATAAACGAAGTCTGGAAACACTGTTCAATTCTATCTTCCCATATATAGTTAGGCGCAATTTCCAAAAAATGTCGTATTGTATCCGTATCAAATTTGCACCAAGGGTGTTCTAGCACGTATACGCACATATCGTAACATTTTAGGAAATTGTATGTATCGTTAATGTCCCATGGATTTTGTGCTATTATGAATGCTTGAAATAATTTTCTTGTCAATACATCGTTGAGGACGAAAGAATCGTCTCGATAG